TGGTACTGGGAGTTTGTCCTGACCCAGGTGCAGGACCTTGCACTTGGCCTGGTTGAACCTCATTTCAGCCTGGTGCTGGCTGTGCCATCACCCATTGGCACATTTCCCACCAGGGCAAGTTTGGCCTCACGAGCATGAGGATGGTGGCTCCTGCCAGTGTTGCATTAACTGGCAGGTCCCTCACTCCTGACAATCCTTCTTTGTTTGGACTCTGTGGTTAATTGTAACCTCTCCTGCCCAGAGCCTGGCAGGCAGAGTGTCGCGGGTGCCCTCCTCTGCCCTGGGAGCTGGGATTGACACCAGGCAGCAGCGCTTCCCAACAGGGCTCAGCCTCCTCAAAGCCTCAGGGGTCTGATGAACAATGGTGACTTATTCTGGGGGGGGAAGCAGCTTTAGGGAACTTTCCACATGCAAAAAAACCCAACCCAAACCAAACCAACATGGTATTTCTATCTGTTTCCAATTTCAGACATTCTTTTTGGATTTTTACCTTCTACCTCAAGTGCTTTAGAGCAAGGAAGAAGATGCAGCACCCTGGGCAGCATCACCTGGCTTTGGACCATGGAGCAGGACCCCAAAGACTGAGCTTCTCACCACGGCACTGGTGGGAGCATGGCACTGCTGAGGGGTGCTGGTGGGCTACCCTCTGCCACCACAGTAGCTCCCACCTCCCACCACCTCCCCCAGCAGCTCCAGCCCTTCCAGAAGCACCGTGGGCTCTTCCCCTGCTCTTGATAAGATATGAGAAAGGCCTCAGGAAACTGGCTCTTTCTCCTCATGCTCTCCCTGCCTGCTGTGTAAATATTTTGAGGAATGCTGGAAAGGGGGCGAGGCTCAGCTGGAAGCAGCATGGGCTGGAAACATGCTCCTTGGGCCAGCAGTCTGTGGTTGGCTGCTCCCAACATTGGCTTCTAGAGAAACATGGCCCCATCCCTTGATAGCAGTGAAGTGCTGTGACTGACAACAGCAGCTCAGCCCTCCACAGCAGGAGATCCAGCAACTCCGTACCCCCCGTCCTCCCCGTGACACCCCACAGCCCAGACTGTACCTGGATCCACACGGGCTCCACGGTGGGCCCTGGTGAGGTGAGGTTCTCCCAGTTCCCTGTCCTCCTGTAGGTGAAGGTGGTCCCTGCCACCCTGTAGTCCCCGTTCCACTGGATGGTCCAGCCACCATTCAGGAAATACTTCTCTGGGTCCTCGCTCCGCAGTGCCAGGAAATTCCCAGCCTCTGCCACCTCCTCAATCCGGATCTCCCGGGCACCCACAGGGATGATCCCAATATCAACATAGCCTGGGAAAGGAACTGAGTGTTAGCCTGGGGAGCTAAAGACACGACAGAGACTATCTGTGCCCCAGGGTGGGTGCTAGTGTCCCCCGGGTGCCAGCACTGTGCCAATCCTTACACCTCTGTGAGGCACCAGTGGGCACCAAACCCCGCCTTGCACAGAGCCCAGCTGTGCTCCCTGCTGGGAGAGCCCAGTGCAGAGAGAGACATCTCCTGCACAAGTACTGGCAAAGCATTTCTCACACTTTCAACAAAGAATCATAGAAGAGAATCATGGAATGGTTTGGGCGGGAAGGGACCTTTCAAGGCTGTCCAGTCCAAGCCCCCTCACTGAGCAGGGACATCTGCAGCTAGAGCAGGGTGCTCAGAGCCCCGGCCAACCCCACCTGGAATGGTTCCAGGGATGGGGCAGCGACCACCTCTCTGGGCAACCTGGGACAGGGGCTCACCACCCTCAATGTCAAAATTTTCTTCCTTACATTCAGTCTAAGTCTCCCTCTGAGTTTAAAACCATCACCCCTTTACTTCCTTACATCCAGTCTAAGTCTCCCTCTGAGTTTAAAACCATCACCCCTTTACGTCTCCCAACGGGCCCTGCTAAAAAGTCTGTCCCCATCTTTCTGACAGGCCCCTTGAAGTCCTGAAAGGCCACCAGAAGCTCTCCTGCCTGACATGACCTTGCCAACCCACCAAACCCCCTTAAACCTCCCCAAACTGGCTCCAGCGTGTGCAGCTTTGTTTTCAGGCCTTTAAACAATCACGGGGATATATTTCTTCTGTGGAGCAAGAAACAGCAAGGCCAGGTGCCCCCATAGCCCCTTACCCAGCCCCTCGCTGTCCTGGAAGGTCCTGCTGACGGTGTGGCAGGTGGAGCCGTCGCCGTGGCACACGCCGCACCGGTCCTCCTCCGCCTGAGAGTCGATCTCGTAGTCACAGCCCACCTTCTGCAAGGCAGCCCCGTCAGCCCCACCCCGGGTTCAGAACCCTTCCCCAAGAACCTTTTAGCATTCTGCTGAATCTCCCTACACCTCGTGCCAAACGGCTGTGCCTGCGCAGAGCAGGAGCCTTCCTGTGCCCTCGCAGCAGAGCAGCCGCAGCCAAGGTCAGAGAATCAATGAGTGTGTGGGTTTGGAAAGGAACTCTTCTGCATTGTGTCCTGTGGTAGGTGCCAAGGAAAAATCATGATCCCTGTGCTCTCCCTCCAGCCTCAGCCTTTGAAGGCACACCCAGCCTATCACAAGAGGAAGCAGAACCTTCCCAAAGGCTCCAGCTGCCATCCAGCCCCTGCCCAACACCCCCCACGGCACAGCCAGGGAGAGATGGAACCTTCCACTGACAGTTTTTAAATAAAAGCCTGCAAAAAAATTCATTGACTGATTATTTTCCCTCTTCCCTGCTGCTCTTCATGCTGTCCAAAACCTTTTTTCCAAAAAGCTTATTTCTCCAAAAAACCTTTCAGAGAGTATCTGGAGTGTGTTCAGAAAAAGGCAACAAAGCTGCTGGGGGAGGGTCTAGAGCCCAAGTGTGGGGAGGAGCAGCTGAGGGAGCTGGGGGTGCTGAGCCTGGAGCAAAGGAGGCTCAGGGGAGACCTTCTGGCTCTGCACAGCTCCTGACAGGAGCCTGGAGCCAGGGGGGGGTCAGGCTCTGCTCCCAAGGAACAAGGGACAGGAGGAGAGTGAATTGTCTCAAGTTGCCCCAGGGGAGGTTGAGGTTGTCCCTGAGGAACAATTTGTTCCCCTGGAGGGTTGCCCAGGGCTGTGCCAGGCTGCCCAGGGCAGTGGTGGAGTCCCCACCCCTGGAGGGGTTTCCAAGCCGTGGAGATGTGGTGCTGAGGGACACGGGGCAGTGGGGACCTGGCAGTGCTGGGTTAACACAGTTGAACCCCATGATCTTACAGGTCTCCTCTACCCAAAACAATTCTATAACTCTACAGTCTTTCTCTAACACTATGACAGACTCAGCTGTGTCCCCTCTTGCATGTGCCAGGCCCTGCTGACACGTGGCCATCAACCTTGCAGCAGTGTGGCTTTAGGCACCTCCCACGGTGGGAACGTGCCCTGCAGACCACAGTACCATGGCAGCTCAACCACCACCCACTCCCTAATTCAACAGACATTAAATGTCCTACATGCACACTTATTCCTACACCTCAGGCCCACTTCCCTAGTGGAAAGGAAGGTGTGAATGAAGCGACCATCTTGCCTTGACTAAGGGCAGATGGAAGACCCAAGTCACACTCAGCAAAGCCTTCCAAGCCATGCTGGCATCTCCCAGCTGGTTCCCAGTGCCAACTGTGCCATCTCCACCACATTCATAGAACGGTTTGGGTTGGAAGGGACCTCAATGATCACCTTGTTCCAACCCTCCTGCCATGAGCATGGGCATCTTCAACTAGAACAGTTTGCTCAAAGCCTCATCTAACCTGGCTTGAACACATCTAGTGATGGAGCATCCACAGCTTCTCTGGGCAACCTGTGCCAGGGTCTCACCACCCTCACAGTGAATAACTTCTTTCTTACATCTAACCTAAATCTCCTCTCTTCCACTTTGAAGCCATTACCCCTTGTGCCTCCCATGCTGGGAGAAGCCCCTCACAGCTGGCAGACAGAACAATGCTGCCACACATCTCAACACGTTTGCAGGGAGCTTCCAAAAAAGAAAAAAGATCCCAGAAGGAAGGACAAACTTCTTTGGTGTGAGGGTGGCTGAGCCTGGAGCAGCTGCCCAGAGAGGCTGTGGAGTCTCCTGCTCTGGAGAGATCCCAAACCCACCTGGATGTGATCCTGGGCACCCTGCTGTGGGTGAGCTGTTGGAGGAGGGAGTAGGATGAGATGATCCCCAGAGGTCCCTTCCAACCCCACCATGCTGGGATTCTGCGGTGAATCCCAACTTTGGGAGAGGCTGCCAAGCTGGGGCACCATCTCCACCACTGCAGGCCAGACTTGCAGCCAAACTCGGGGTTCAGGCCTCTGCTGAGCATCCTCTCTACACACCCCTTCCTATCCCCAGCCTCACTTCCAACTAAAACTTTTCTTCCTTTATTCCCAGCCCATAGGTGCATGCGAGCGAGGGGACGATGTTCATTCAAGGGACGGGTCCCAGCACCCATGCACATTTCCCTGAGCCCGGGGGGGTGCTGGGGCTCCCCCCAGAGAGGGCCCCGGGGCAGGGCCCACCTTGCAGATGCCGTTGATGCACATGTCCCTGCTGGCGCTGCTCTCGTAGCAGGGCGTCCCGTCCACCACCGCGTCCCGCAGCTTCTCCGCGAAGTACTCGTCCTCCGGCCGGCAGTGCAGCTCACAGGGGTTCACTGGGGGACCCAACAGGCACAAACTGAACCCCAGCAGCCGGGGCCACGGAACCAGCTCCGAAAACACAACTCAACCCTGCAAGCCCAGCCATCACTTAAAATCCGGCACGAACACGCTGCCAGGCGAATCTTACAGCCGCCAAGAGCGACGTCGAGCCGTTGGCAAGGCTGTGCTGGAGGTTTTTCACTGGCAGTGGGCTCTGCCCTCCACTCACTGTTGTTGGGCACTGGCGTCCACTTGTAGAGCTTCCCTTTGTAGAGCATGGGGTTGAACTGGCTGCACTGGACCTGGCGGAAGGAGGGCTTGTCCAGGGGACACGGCTTGACATTGCAAATCCGGAACCGCTTCCGCTCCCCCAGGCAGTACCTGCCCCCGTACTTGGGCCTGTCCCCCCAGGGGAGGGAGAGAGAGAGAGAGTCACAGAATCACAGGTGGGTTCCAGTTGGAAGAAACCTTAAAAATAGTCTAGTCCAAATCCCCTGCCAGGGACATCTTCAACTAGAGCAGGTTGCTCAGAGCTGCATCCAACCTGGCCTTGAACGCCCGCAGGGACGGGACATCCACAACGTCTCTGGGCAACCTGGGCCAGAGTCTCACCACCCTCAGTGTCAAAAGTTCATTCCTCATAGCTAGTTAAATCTCCTCTTTCAGTTTAAAACCATCATCCCTTGTCCTGTCAAATAAAGACCTACCACACGCAAGGGAAAACTCCCTTTTTATTCACAGCTAAGGGCGGGTGGTTTTGCACCTGCTGCTAAGGTTTGATCTGATGGGGCTGGGTCAAGCTGCATCCACCTCAAGTCAACAAGGAGCTCCTCTAGTTAGAACCCACACATTGCTCTGCTGCAGTGTTGGCTAGGGAAGCTGGCTACCAACCAAACATCCACCCCAGAGGGAGTTCTACTCCACAGAGAAAGCTTTTGAATTGCGTGGAAACCACAACCCAAGTCCTTCTCCAAGTCCCTCCTGGCCCAGCTCCCTGCTGCTGCTGTGGCTGCTGGGCTGTGGTATGGGACCAGGCAGGGTGAGACAGTGGACCAAAGGCAGCTTATGTTGAGTGATGGCTCTCAAGCTGCATGAGATACATCTTTGGTCTTGTTCCCCTTGACAGCCTCCTTAACATTGGAAATACACTAATTTCATAGGTCTAGTGCACGATGCTATAAAAGCAGTTAAGGTCTGCTGTCACTGGCAGAGTTCACATCTGAAGCCTTCCCACATCTCCTTCACCACCCCAGGTACCGTGGCTGATGAGATGCCAGGGCTCCCAGCAGCCAGGCTTGCCAGCCTGGAGCTGCTGCATTCTGCCCCGGATGTGCTCCCAACTCTGCTCCCCTGTTGCCCACGGGAATGGCAAAGCTGCCACTGGACTTTTTAAAGTAAGAGGGACTATAAAAGCTACAACAATTTTTTCCTCATATGCCAACAGACTCTCAAAATACCATCACCATCTCCTGCCACCTGCCTTCTCCTTTGGTCACAGCCCCTCCAGGGCTCACGTCCCCACAGCCTCCTGCAAATGACTTTTCCCCTGATCAGTTAACTCTGGGCACACTTTACTGAAGGGAATAAAGTGAATTATTACTTGAGGGTTGTGTTTACATACCCTGCCCTGAGGAAATGCCTGTGGGATGAGGACTGCCCAGCACTCACATTTGTTCACTCCATCCAAAAAGCAAAGCTGAAGATTTACCTATGGTGGCCAAGGCAAACAGCAGCCCGGGGAAGCTCCGCGGCTCTCCCGGTGCTCGCTCCCTGCCTGCCCACAGCTGTGTTTAGAACCCTCCATAAACCACAACTGCACTCCTGCCACAAGGCTCCTGTCAAACACAAACCCAGCTCCTGACCCGGGGCTGAGATTACACAGTGCTGCTTCAGACAGCTCCACGGTGCTAAAAACAGGGGGCCCGAGGAGGAGGCTGGGCAGAGAGCGTGTCAGAGAGCCGTGCAGGAGTGGCTGGCACAGGGCGACCCCCCACCAAGCCCT